TAGTGGTTTTGACAAGAATTGTGCCTTCAAATCCATGTTGTTCTGCAGATCAATTAATTCTTCTGCAGCGTACAGAATCGCTAGTGTGTCCTAGGCTTTATGACTCAACATGCTTGTCAATACGATTAACTGGCTGTTAAGTAACTCTGTACTGCTTTACAGGTTGTACAGTAGTACTGTTATTTTTTTCCGGTAAATTTGTAAAAATTAACGAAAGTCGTGGTTTCATCACATTCTCCAAAACCTTTCGCGGGCCGGATTGAACCACTCCGCGGGCCGGATCCGGCCCGCGGTCCGGACTTTCCCGGGCACTGATCAATCTAAGCTGATGCTATGCTATGCTATGCTATGCTATGCTATGCTATGCTATGCTATGCTATGCTATGCTATGCTATGCTATGCTATGCTGTGCTATGCTGTGCTGTGCTGTGCAATGCTGTACCATGCTATGCTATGCGATGCTGTACCATGCTATGCTATGCGATGCTGTACCATGCTATGCTATGCGATGCTGTATCATGCTATGCTATGCGATTCTATGCTATACTATGCTATACCATGCTATGCTATGCGATGCGGTGCTATACCATGCTATGCTATGCGATGCTATGCTATGCTGTACCATGCGATGCTATGCGATGTGATTCTATGCTATGCTATACGATGCTGTACCATGATGCGATGCTAGGCTATGCTATGCTATGCGATGCTGTACCATGCTATGCTATGCGATGCTAGGCTATGCTATGCTATGCGATGCTGTACCATGCTATGCTATGCGATTCTATGCTATGCTATGCTGTGCGATGCTATGCGATGCTATGACGGCGCGCCGGTGTGTGTATCCTCCGGTAACACGCTACCTGTTGTTTGGTAACGTTGCAGATCATAGCCATCTCTCGTTAGCTGTTTAATTTAAGTATGTCCCTTCCCGCAGCTCCCATGTGTCATGTGGGTATGCCGTCATTGCATGTCGCTATAACAATGTATGAACCCCACTGACAAGTAGAACACATACATATGCAGAATACATGTTAGTGACCGAAGTAAAAGTTCTAGGTCGCACCGAAAGTACAAGTTCTATCTAGTCCTGACCTCATAGTTGTAGTTCGTAGCGTTGTCTTTTCAGTGGAAGTTGCAATGGGCCAACTGATGCCGAGGTTCTAGCCAGTCAATATATTTATTAGCCGGAACACATGTATACGTATGTCCATTGTATCGGCTATATTGATTAGTTGACCATTGAGTCAGCGTGCAGTGAACCTGCGGCGGGGGGGGGGGGCGGGATGACGTGACGTAATATGACGTGACGTGACACGGCATGGCACAAGCTATGATATGATGTGCTATGATCACCATGTCGTATAGCATCATAGCATATCTTGTCATGTAATACGATTAAGAGCTAATAATATTTCTTATTAGCTCTTGATGAGATATATGTGTGATGTTGTTAAGTTTTGTCGCGTCAGTAAAAGCCCGCGTGGCGCTTACATCTGTTATTGGAGAAATCTTTCTGACTGATTACTCAGAATGATTACTCTGGTATCTGTTCAATACAAAGAGCACAACCAGCTTCGCAGCCGCGTAGAGATGCTACTAGCCTGCGATAACTGAGCTCATCGCGTATATGTCGGTAGTAAGAGATGACGGTGGCCGATCGTGGCTCTGTGTGTTTACGGATGTCACTTTCCCCCGCGCGTAGAGGGAGGGTGCCGCTACGTGGCAGCATTAGTCACTTCGTACACTTCCGTCATTCCACAGTCCTACTTCCATGCTAGACTACTTCCTAACCTTAACCCTAACCCTAACACTGACCCTAACCCTAATCCTAACATTAGTGCTGCCACGTAGCGGCACCCTCCCTCTACACCCGGGGGAAATTGACACCGTGTTTACAAGTGCAGCGGCCGTCTGCGTGCTTCTATTTGGGGGGGGGGGGGGTTAAACGCTTGCAGTCCCGCATGAAGTGACGCGTGCCATTGATGCCCGATTTTTAGTGATCTGCATAGAACGGCGCAGTATGAATTGTTTGTTATCTATCTATGATTGTATCAGGACATGGTAGTGCCATGGAAGTTGCTGGGGGTGCAATGTGTTGTTGCCGCGACAGCCCTGGTGCATATTTCGAGCAACGTCGTAAACTAGTTATAACGTGTATGTGTTTGTAAATACATTGGTTTACGTCTGCTTGAGATGTGTTTGCTTTTACATTATTTATTAAAATAAACGTTATTGATGAACTCCATCAGTAGGAACTGAATTTTGTTTTAAGAATGTAATTTTTCTCGTCCGTGAGTATATCAGCCCATGGGGTTTCACATGCATGACACAAGCTGTATGACACGTAAGCAATTGTTAACAAATGTTCACAAATGTCGGGCAGCCGGATACGTGCGCATGAACAACTTTTCATAAAAATTTGTAAACAGAATTCAATTAAATAATTTTGAGTAATTTTTTTTCACTTAGCGTAGCACATGATATGTCCCTCCGTGCATTACAACGAGTTGGCGCCTTCTTTACGAGTCGCGCTTTTTCTTAAATAACTTGAATATGTTTCTGAACAACTCACGATGCCATTTATAATTGTAATTCGTAATAAAATGGCTATAACCTTCCGTTTTCCAGTACTGAGATCTCATATTTATGACTAGATTATGAAACAAAAATTATTCCAGCGTTTCAGTTTAATAACTAACGGCGTCCATTATAATTCCAGAATTATTGTGCGCTGCAGGAAAGACTAATTTATCAGACTCTGCTCGCACCTGCTCAGTGTCTGGCAAAAATGGTAATCTGCCTAATGGTTAAGTCTTGCATTAAAATAATACGCAAGACACACGCTTATGTTTTTAACAATAATTAGTAGAAGTAGTGTAGAAACAATTTGTATCATCTGCAATTAAATGGTCTTATTGAGAACAGCACACTACAATTAACTTCTAAACAATTTGAATAATTAACGTCGTAGATTAGATTATTTCCTTCGGGCGAAAAGTCGCCAAGATGCCCACGCCCTATCTCTAAATAGGGTATATAACACTAGTTTCGGAAGGGACGAAAGTCTGTGCAGTGCCATATCCAATCAAAGCAACGAGCTCGCATTTGATGATGCACACACCTCATGCCTGGCTGCCAATCATAGTTTGAATACGTTATACGTCGGACCTATGTCATTTCTTGCAGGCCCTTAGCATAAAGAGGGTAATGTCAGTGCAGTGCCACCACATCGAAATATCGAGGTCGCGTTTTACGATGCGCAACTCCTGCCTGGCGCCTGCCACGCTATTTTTACACGCTCGGTCCTATAGGTCATGCATTTACGTTGAGACGCCAGGATTCCCGTAGCCGCATCCCAATGCATTGGTATAGAGCTATAGGGAGAGACTCATGGCGGGGTATTGTCCTGGGAGGAAAAGACGACGAGCAGTTTGCGCGCCATTACTCATGTATACTTTAGCATAGCGACATTATTTTAACATAGCGGCAAAAGAAAGGGCGAGAGGGAGAAGTAGAGTGAATAATACATGTACAGAGAGAGAGAGAGAGAGAGATAGACTTATTGCGAATAGCAGAAGATTATTGCGAATCAACGATCCTAAGTGAGAATGACGAATTGTGACCTGCTACAGCAAAACCAGGATTAAGTAGGAAAGTCTACAAATTGAGTTATGTGCATATCTGTATAGATCATTTAATTACCTTTAAAATGATATATAATATTTGGCTATATCTAAAGAATTGACCGATCTACAGCAATTTGAAGATCGGAAACCGACTTATTCCGAGATATGCAGTTTTTGAGATAAAGCGTTCCGGGTAAAGGGCCCAGTCAATTTTTATTATTTTTTATTTTTTTAATTAAAAATGACTATGATAATCTAGAGATATCTGAACCTATATATCCAGATTAAAAGTGCACTTAGGAACTTATTTTTGTAAAAATCTCATTTTTGTCCAGGTAGGCCATTTTCAGCATTGACATGTGTTCGTGCTCATTACTCAAAGCAATGACTTGCGACTTAGTCCGTATTATGCTGGAGCGGGTCACAATTATTGAGCGAAGGAGGCAGGAAGGAAGGAAGGAAAGATGGGATTCTTTCAGCGAGCGAGTGAGTGTGAGTGAGTGAGTGAGTGTGTGAGTGAGTGAGTGAGTGAGTGAGTGAGTGAGTGAGTGAGTGAGTGAGTGAGTGAGTGGGTGAGTGGGTGAGGGAACGAGTGATGAACCGAGATTGAATGGGAGGGAGGGACAGACAGAGCATAGCAAGACCAACCATAACCGACTTGTTTCTTACAGGATGTAGCAGCATTAGACGCAACACCTCTGCTTGGATTTAATGTTCAGACCATGGACACAATAGAGGTATGTCAGATGGTCTGCCTTTAATGATGTTGTTAATTTTAAAAACATAAATACATCGAGATATGTTAATTGCATAATGCTAATTTTAGTGAATTAAAATTGGAGAGCAAATAGCCCATAGGCCTACTGGCACTTCTAGTTCTTATGGGGGGGGGGGTTCACTCACCAATTAAGTTAAGCATATCAGGGCGATTTAAAAAAAAAATTGTTTAGGATAATGGTTTGCCCAGCCGGCAGCTGTTCTGGAATCGCGAAGTAGTAGTTAATGTGGTGACATGCGCTCTCTCTCTCTCTCTTGGCAGGTTTTCGAGGGTGTAGACGCGAGTCTGGTCTTCGAACTGTGCCACCATCGCAAGAGCATGTTTATCTTCCACACGGACGCGGCAAGCGCGCGTGAACGCTGGGTGACACTCATCACAGAACAAACCGTTCTCGTATAACCTCCGCGAGGCCAGGGAGTGGCCGTTGCTATGGGAACACCGGCGCACGGCGACACACCGGGTTGTCACTGTGCATGTTCGAAGTCGCATCCTAGCAGTAGACAGGTCTGGTGTATTGCAGGGAGACGTGGCTGGTGGACTCGGTAGTGCGGTCACCAAGTATTACCACCGTCTAGGTATCATCTCGTGCTGCTACTTAAATAAATGAGTGAAGACAAAGGTCTTCATCTTTCTCTCTCTCTTTCTCTCTCTCTTTCTCTCTTTCGCTCTCTCTCTCTTGCTCTCTTTCTCTCTTTCTCTCTTTCTCTCTCTCTCTCTCGCTCTCTCTTGCTCTCTCTCTCTCCCTCTCTTTCTCTCTCTCTCTTTCTCTCTCTCTTTCTCTCTCTCTCTCTCCATCTCCCATACTGAGCGTTGCACTGCCATCTCTGGCCGCTTAGGGATCACAGCTTCTTTTGAGTTGGAATTGTTCCACAAATTAATGGCTCCACCTACTTTTTTGGTGGCCGATTATAATGTTGGGCGCTGTTGCGTGAGCTAATTCTGTGCTGCAGGGCAGTATATTCCCGATAATATCATGCTGATCAGTCTAATACTCTGGGGCTTATTGTCAAAAACAGCATATGTAGTCATGCAAACATCGTATATGACTATTATGAGTGTGAAGTGCGATAGCTTGGGCAGGCTGCCTCACCTCAAATGCTATCACTTCAAATGTTATAACAATTTAGACTTATGATCCTCATAACTACTCATTATATTTCTGACGATGGCCCCTGCTTCCCAGCATACCGCCGCCTAATATTTCTATGCCCTATATTTTATTTCCCAATATAGAGCTGCCCAGTATTGTATGGCCTAACATTGAACTGTCTAGTGTTGCATTGCCCGTTAGAATCTGATATCATGTTCGCCAGCTTTGCGCCACATTATATAAATGTTAATATAGTGTTAGCGCTCACATAGTTGGAGCTGCTACACCATTGCCTTGCCGTGCATGGCTGGCGTCGTAGGTGCGTATGCATGATAGCTCACTTCTCGCCCTGGACAACGCGTTTTTGTTGAACGAAAACCGTGTTTATTTACCGAAATGTTTGTTTATATTTGTGCGTGCGTTCGTGCGTGCGTGCGTGCGTGCTGTAGGTCTCCAGTACGGATTCCATGTTCAACTGTCTTTACCCAAACTTATCCGAAGGTACGCACCCACGAAGATATAGATACATATTGTAACGTAGCTTCTTGACTCTCTGACTGGCCCAGAGAAGTCTTCGTCGCTGTCGCGGGTGTGTGTTGATGTTCGCTACTCACTGTTAGTCTGTGTTGCTACTTACTTGTTATTATACGTACGTTTCAATTCGTTAGTGTCACAGACAGCATCCACTCGTCTCGTGTGTCTCAGAGTCTCTCTTCCGGACAGCACAATCATTCGCGTAAACTTTGGTTCTGCATCGAAGGCCTGCCCTAATGAACATCAGGTTCACAAGTGCATAGATAATGACGATATATATATATGTATTACTACATACATATACCTAAACATATACATACACACCATTTTTATATAAATAAATTTGTAATTAATTTGTATTTTGTATTTTTAAATTTAAATTATTGCATATTATATTAATACTATATATATATATATGATATATATTATATATAATATATATATATATATATACCGTTACACTTCGTAACCTGTGTGTGTGGCGCGTGAGCGCCTGGCCCCGTGCGTGCGTGGTGCGTGCGTGCGTGCGTGCGTGCGTGCGTGCGTGCGTGCGTGTCGTGATATGCATAGGCTACCACATACTGACAAGTAACCTTGAGACGTAAGCGAAATATTTTACAAGAATTTTATTGTGGTTTGTCTAAATTATGTGATTACCATATCAATTTTTAATTGTGCAATATGAGTTTGATAGGATGGCTTTAGAAAAAAAAGGCCGAGCAGTTGAACACTGACCGTAGGTCTTTATGAGGATGAAGTTGTATGGGCTGTTGGCTTTGTTCTATTTGGTGTGTCTTGTCTACTTTTTCTCATTTGCGCGTACGCCGCGTCTAGGCATTTTGTGGACCCTCACATTGAGTTCCGACTTGTTTTGACCTAGTCAACTAATAGAAGTTTTTATACGCAGTTCGTTTTATCGATAATTTTAAACGCGTTTGTGATCAATAATTTATTTTCGAGAGTGCATTATATCTTTTTCACAATTGTAATATTCATGATATGATGCATTCATATATGCAATGATCGGAGCCAACTATGCGTACATAACGTACCGCGTGTACTGTGTTTCCGATTGGTTTGTACCTTCCCCTAGTATGCCGTGAAAGTATTTCGTTAGACCCTTGTTATTAGCGATTAGATCTTCTCTCCCGCTCAGCCTTAGCATTTGAAACCGTACGTCTGTCGTGTTATGGGTTTACCAACTAACACATTGATGAACAGCTAGTGCCTGCACGGCGGAAAATTATAACAGGGATAGCGAGCGCTTGCAGAGGACCTGGAGATCAACATATGTGTGTAGGGGCTGCGTGTATACAGGATATAAATTCAATCTAAGCTGATGCTCTATATGCCTAAGCTATGCTCATTGCTATGCCTATGCTGATGCTATGCTGTGCTATGCTCTGTGCTGCGTGAATGGCAATGCTGTACCATGCTATGGGCTATGCGTGCTGTCCATGCTATGCTATGCGATGCTGGTACCATGCTATGCTAGCGATGCTGTATATGCTATGCTATGCATTGCTTATCATGCTTATGCTATGCGATTCTTATGCTAGTACCTATGCATATACCATGCTTAATGCCTATGCGTTGCCGTGGCTGTTACATCTATGCTATGCCGATGCCTATAGCTATGCTGTACCATGCCGCATGTCTACTGCGATGTTGGATTCTATGCGCTATGCTACTACGATGCCTGCTACCATGATGCCGAGTGCTAGGCCTATGCCTATGCCCTATGCGATGCATGTACCATGCTATTCTATGCGATTACTATGCTATGCTATGCTGTGCATGCCTATGCCGATGCTATGACGGGCGCGCCGCGTGTGTGCTATCCTCGGTAAACACGCTTACTGGTTGTTTGTTAACGGTTGCACAATCATAGCATCTCTCGTTAAGCTGTTTAAGGTTAAGATATGTCCCTTCCCGACCAGCCCCATGTGTCATCTGGGTATGCCTCATTGCCATGTCGCCTATAAACAATGTATGACCCCACTGACAAGTAGAACATACATATGCACAGAATACATGTTTATGTGACCGAAGTAAAAGTTCTAGTGTCGCACCGAAAGCTACAAGTTCTATTAGTTCCCCTGACTCATAGGTCTAGTTCGATAGCGCATTGTCTTTTCAGATGGAAAGCTGCAATGGCGCCAACTCGATGCCGAGGTCTAGCAGTCAATATATTTTATTAGCGGAACAGTACGTCATGTCCATTCGTATCGGCTATATTGATTAGTTGATATTGATGTCAGCGGTGCAGTGCAACCTGACGGCGGTGGGGGGGGATTGACGTGACGTAATATGACGTGACGTTGACACGCATGGCACCAAGCTATGATATGATGTGCTATGATCACCATTCGTTAATAGCCATCATAGCATATCTTGTTCATGGTAATACGATTAAGAGCCTAATAAATATTCTTATTAGCTCTGATGAGATATAGTTGATGTTTGTTAAGTTTTGTCGCGGTGCAGGAAAAGCCCGCGTGGCGCTTGACATCTGTTATTGAGTAATTCTTTCTGACTGATTACTCAGAATGATTACTCTAGGTTATCTGTTTCAATACAAAGATGACAACCACCTTCGCCAGCCGCGTAGAGATGCTACTAAGCCTGCGATAACTGAAGCCTCATCGCGTATATGTCGCGGCTAGTAAGGATGACGGTGGCCGACTCGTGCTCTGTGTGTTACGGTGCTCACTTTCCCCGCGCGCGTAGAGGAGAGGCCGTGCCGCTACCGCTGCAGCATTATCACTTCTACAGCTCCGTGTGTTGCTATCCCGGGCGGTCCGAGGGAGCGTCACGTGATAACCCCGTTGACATTTGACGTTTCAAAACGTAAGCCGTTAACGAAACCCCCTCACTCCCAACACCGCCAACACTAACCCTCGACACTAAATATATATGTCTCCGCCCCGCGTATATTATTTACGCATTGTGATTCCCCACAAATAATTAATCTATTTGTTGCGGGACATATATCATGATGCAAAAACCTTAACCCTAACCCTTAACCCTGACCCTAACCTAATCCTAACACTACGTGCTGTCACGTCGCGGTCACTCCTTTCAACGCCCCGGGAGATAGCATTACCCCACTTGGTCATTCCACCAGCTCATGCTAGACTTCCATGGTAGACTACTTTCCTAACCTTACCCTAACCCTAACACTGACCCTAACCCTAATCCTAACTTAGTGCTCCCACGTAGCGGCACCCTTCCCCTCTTACACCCGTGTTTACAAGTGCAAGCGGCCGTCTGCGCTGCTCTATTTTGCGGGGGGCGGGTTAACACGCTTGCAGTCCCGCCATGAAAGGACGCGTCCCCATGATGCCCGATTTTTAAGTGATCTGCACTAGAACGGCCCACAGTATTGAATTGTTTGTTATCTATCCTATCCATTAGTATATCAGGAATGGTAGTGCCTGGAAGTGCTGGAGTGTAATATGTTCGTTCCGCGACAGCCCTGGTTGCCATATTTCGAGCACTTCGTAAACTAGTTATAACTGTATGGTTTCGTACAATACATTGTTTACGTCTGCTTGAGATGTGTTCTGCTTTTACATTTTTATAAAATAAAGCGATTATGATGAACTCCATCCAGTAGGAACTGATATTTCGTTTTAGAATTAATTTTTCTCGTCCCTGAGTATATCAGCCCATGGGCGTTTCACATGCATGACACAAACGCTGTATGACACGTAAGCAATGGTTAATCAAATGTCACAAATGTCGGGCAGCCGGGATACGTGCGCATGAAACAACTCATAAAACAATTTGTAAACCCAGAATTCTATTCAAATAATTTAGTAGATAATTTTTTTCACTTGCGTTAGCCAACATGCCATATCCCTCGTGCTATTACAACGACGTTAGCGCCTTCTTTCACGAGTCGCATTTTTTCTTAAATAAGCTTTGAATTATGTTTTCTGAAACACTCACGATGCCCCATTTATAATTCGCTAATTTCGTAAGTAAAAAAAAAAAAAACCAATAAACGTTATAGACCTTCCGCTTTTCCAGTACGAATCTCATAATTAAGACTAGATTA